TAGTTCATTCCTTACCTTCCTCCAAATACGTTGGCAGTGGAGGGCAGCCTGAAAGGCAGACGGGACTTGGGCAGCCCGATCCTGGGAGGAGAACACTGGCGGCTGGAAACAAACACCACATAAAAGGGAGACAGGCCAGTAGCACAGGATGGAAGAGCATTCATAGCATGTTCTACCAGAGGAAGGTTTTCAGACCACCTGGTACCATCGTTCTCACAGAGAATGCAAAGGTGAGTTTCCAGTTCTTGATTGGCATGTTCTGTCTGACCATCAGTTTGAGGATGGAAACCTGAAGACAGACTCAGAGAAATTCCCAACAAACCACAAAATTATTTCCAAAATTTGGACATAAACTGTGGTCCATGGTCAGAAACAATGTCTTTGGGAAGACCATGGAGTCTAAATACTTCTTGAAGCATGATTTTACTAAGATCTTTAGACATAGGGAGCTTGCTAAGAGGAACCAAATGAACCATCTTAGAAAATCTGTCAATGAAGTGAGGATCACTGACTTACCCTCAGATTGGGGTAGACCTGTGATAAAATCCATGGCAATGTGAGACCAAGGACGAGATGGCACAGGGAGCGGTCTGAGAAACCCAGAGGGAGGACGTCGTGAAGGTTTGGTCAGGGAGCACTGGATACAAGCCCCAATGAACTCTTATGTCCTTGGATAAGGAACCCCACCAGAACTGCGACTTGACCACCTCCAGAGTCTTCCTGATCCCTGGATGACAAAACAGGCGAGAGCTGTGACAAAATGAGAGTACCTTATGAACCAGGTGATCAGGGACAAACAGCAGGCCATCAGGGCATTCCCTGGGTGGAGGGTGGAACTGGTGGGTCTCCCTGACCTCCTTCTCAATCTGAGTAACCGCCAGTCGAACCTTTTCAGGTAGAATGAACCCTTCTTGACTACTGGCCTGTTCAGTCGATGACTCGTGGATCCTAGAGAGAGCGTCTGGTTTAGTGTTCTTGACTCCAGGTCTGAAAAATAAGGAGAAGTTGTGGATGTGGATCAGCTGCTCTGGACCAAAAAAAAGTCCGTCAGCTGGCAGATTCTGGAGTGACGAAACTAACCGAACAAATCGCCTCTAAATCATCTGGTGAGTTAATTATCTGCTGTGCGCAACGTTCGCTTGCTCTTTAGTAAATAAATCAAAGGCATTTTCTTTTTTTTTAATCTTTATTCACCCACCGAGGGCACGCTCCCCCCACACCTCGCTGCTGCTGCTTGTTCTGGTCTGAACACTAGTGCGTTCTTCGGTCTGAAAATAGCGCGTCCAACGAGAGGCGTTTTGTGCTTTTTGGCCGCTCAAAACGCGTTCGGTGTGAACGTAGCATGAGCCCCCTTGTCCTTAAAACCTAGTGACGCCCCTGGTAAACAGTAACAGTAAAACCATTACTTAGTCATCAGCATGTTCATGTTGATATTTGTTTGGTTGTTGGGAGAAACAAAATGTTTCCTGTAGTTAATTCTGAGAACACATCTCACACAACATTAAGCTAAAGCTTCTCCTCACATTCTGTTTCTAATTAAATCACCAGATCTTTCAGTGTAAATGAGAGTCTCTGTTGTGTAATAGATCACCAGACACTGTTCTTTTTTTGAAGTTTGTCCCCAGTAAAGTTAACAAATCATTCTCTGGCTAATATGTAATGCCACACAACAATTGTTCACTTATTAAATTAGGTTTTTTGTTGTTGTTTTTCCTTGATAAACAGCACTTCTCCTCCTCTGTGGAGAGTTTCATGTCAGAGCATGACTTGTGTTAACGTAAGGACACGTCTTTCCATGTCTCATTCTCATGATGCATTAAAACAAAGCAACAAAAACTTGAAAAGTCTTGATGTTCACATGCAGCACATGTGTGCAGGAGGTTATCAGTGGATGTTGACACTGGGCTAAAGGTTGTATTTTGTATTCTGTACTCAGCAGGACTGCATGTGTCTCATACAAGACTTGTTCATTTGATTACCACATCTGCAATAATCGTTGGGTTCCAAAAAGTAAAAGTCCCTGCAGATGTAATGTATAAATCTTTAAAAACCCCATGTATGTTGTCTCAGAGCGTCAAGAGTTGCCAAAACGTCAGCTGTGGGCCGAGACACTGGGTGCAGCTCAACTCATGCAGACATGATTCAAAACACAAAGAGACCTTTGAACTGAGCACAGGTTGCCAGGGAAAAGACAAACATTTACCAGCTTTGTTAACAGGAACAAATGCAATATATTATTGGTACTATTGATTTAAATTCGTGTCATTTTGATTATTTGATTCATGACCAACTTTAATACTGTACATCCACATGTTTTCATTTATAGGTAATAAGAGCAAAACAATAGTCACTTTATTAATAAATGTATGTATGAAAACTGGTATAAATGTGTATAAATTTGATTTATTTGGGTCTGAAGTCTAAAATGTCTTGTTTTGAGTATTGCTCTGTTGGATCATCTCATCCATATTTACAGACTGAGCCAATGAACACTGCTCAGTGCTGCCATCTAATGGTGACTTCAGAGGTGTGTTCTGTCCCGTGTGCTTCTTGACTTAGAGCAAGGCTGCCCAAACTATTTCCCTGAGAGGGCCAAAATGAAAATGTATCTGATGGCTGTGGGCCAAATGTAATAATATAAACACATCAAATACAAATACTTCTTAAGTAAAGTCCTGTTATTTTTAATGATTAAGCTAGCAGCCAGTGCTGTGGCTCATGTTTTTACTGACAGCACTACAGTCATTGAACCAATACGTTTAGGTGGAAATACTGTGTTTCTACATAGGACAACCTAGAAACCTTGGCTAGTGCTAGTGGGCCAAATCAAATGGCTTAGTGGGCCAGTTTTGGCCCATGGGCCCCACTTTGGGCACCTCTGACTTAGAGGAAATTGGTACTGGAAARWCCTTGAAAGGTCCTTGAATTTGATGTAGACCAAGGTGTGGGGAACCCTGTGCATGTGTGTGTGTGTTTGTCTCTCTGTTAGCAAAATATTTGCTGAAGCAGTGGTTGTTATGTTGACTCTAAGAAATAATCACTGGATCCACAGCCAGTAAACCGTTTGGAGTCAATCCAATCCAAGATGGCTGCCACAGTTAATCCCACTTTGAAAACAGAAATATGCTTACAACTCAGACATGTTATAGATTTTGGAAGTAAAATTTGGTGTGGTAGTAGCTGAGAGTCATCCCCAACACATAATCTGAAGGAGAACAGATTACTCAAAGTTTTGCTATATCATCGGCGATCATTTGTAATGTTMGTTTGTAAGATTTCACCAAGATTTAAACATAAATCAGTCATTTTTCAACATAAAAYGATGATCCTGCTTTAATATTTGTCATGAATGTGCTGCTTTCTTTTCTTCTGCTGTCAATCCAGTCAAACTTGTTTTTAGTCTGAATGTTTAGTTTTGAAATTGGTGTGGTGACTTTTAATTATATTCTTCTTCATAAATAAATAAATAAATAAATAAATAAATAAATCTAAAAT